TAAAGATTTTTTTAAATCAGCCCCCCAAAAATTCAAAGACTCAATCCAAAAAATGGACATCTGAGATGAATATACACTTCTCAGATGAAGAAATACAAAGAGCAAATAATATATTTTAAAAGTTCGGGTGGGGAGATAGCTCAGTATAATAAGTGCTTGCCCGGCAACTTCAAGGTCCTGAGTTCAATCCCTGGTACCACCAAAAAATAATAAATAAATAAACAAATAAATAAAAAGTTCAATATCGTTGGTTATTCAAGATATGAAAATTATAAAAAAAACTGAGATTCTATCTCACTCCAGAAAGAATGGCTATTATCAAGAAATCCGCCAATAACAAATGCTGACAAGGCTGTTAGGGTAAAGGAATTCTCCACTGTTGGTGGGAGTGCAGATTTGTGCAACCACTGTGGACAACAGTATGGAGATTCTTCAAAAGCTACAACTGGGGCTGGGGGAGATGGCTCAGTAGAATCAGCGCTTCCCTGGCAAGTGCAAGGGCCTGAGTTCAATCCCCGGTTCCGCAAAAAAAAAAAAAAAGAAAGAAAAGAAACAAAAAAGTACAATTAAAGGTCCCATTCAACCCAGCTATTCCTTTGCTGGGTATCTTCCCAGAAAAACTAAAAACATCATACCCCGGTGATACATGCTTACTCATATTTATAGTAGCACAATTAGTAATAGCTGGATCTTGGAAACAACTCAAATGCCCATCAACCAAGGAATGGATAAAGAAGCTGTGGTCATTTTATACAGTGGAGTGCTGTTCAGCCATAAAGAAAGATAAATTTGTGACTCATATAGGTAAATAGCTATAGCTCAAGTCCTTACTCATAAGTGAATTAAATCAGAATGATGTAAATATCATATTGTTTCCCTAATGTGAGAAGCTGAATAAATAAGTTCCAAAATGTTCAATAAGTAGTGTGAAATGAGAAGAAGCTCTTCTAAAGGAAAAAGCAACTGGAAATGGGGAAGGGAGCAAAGAAAGGGAAGAGGGAAAAATTATATATATATATATATATATATATATATATATGAGTTAAAATACTTATACTACTAATTTCTCTTAGTCCATTGATAAGCAAAGTTTGTGCCAATATTGTTTAGACAATTTTTATGACTATATATTGTACTTTAAGTAATTACTTTGAAGATAAAAATACACTATGTATTAATTTTTGTTACTCTATTATCTTGTTTTGAAATATTGGGATTCTTTTCTCTTTCAAAGGAAAAAAAGAAACTTGGGCTCTTACACACACTATTTGACTAGAAATGTAAAATGGCACGAGTACCTTAGTTAACAGTAAGTTTCAAATAATGTACATATACATGATCTGGTCTAGCCACTTCAGTAACAGATACTACCCAAGAGAAACACAGACCAAAAAAAAAAAAAAGACTTACACAGGAATATATATTACAGTTTTAACAATAAGGAATCAAATATACATTAGTATGTGAAATGATCAACAAACTGTGTCAAATCCAATAGTATTATAGGACTAAATAGTAAATTACTCAAAAGTGAATTAAAGTAACTATTAGTACTAGTTATAATGGGGATGGATCACAAAATAATTATTTTGGGTGAAAGAAACCATGCATTTAATGCATTTAATTAGTCATTTATGATCCTATCCACTATGATTTGTTTTTGTTTTTCTGTCTTCAATATTTGAGATTTTATTGGTTGTGCTGAGGATCAGTACACATGATTCACTTTGTACACAATTCTTAACACATCAAAAAATGCCGTGTATTTTTTTTTTCAGTTATTCCAGTTACTTTCCAGCTTCAAATTTAGAGGCAAATTTTCTGTAAGAGGTTTAAGTACCAATATCTTCAAATGCTGACAAAGTATTACTTAAATTTTAAGACCCACCAATACACACTTTTGTATCATATACACTACATACTCAAATGTTTTATCTTTCACAGCATATTAACAAAATGAAGCAAACCAGACTACCACTACCAAAGATGTTAAGTACACACGATTCTTACAGGGCAACAATTAGGAAGTAGTTTTCTTTAGGAAACAATTATACTAAAAACATAGGAATAGAAGCCATTTAAAGTATCTAAGGCATATTAAATGCATGGCTATAATTCCAAATTAGTATGTTTTGTACTGTAGGATATAAAACTACCCCCCATCTATGGAATGTTAAGCTGACACCCAAGACAGTCAAAGCCTACCATAATTCAATATCCCACTACTTCTGGTTGTACCAAAAAAATAAACAACCAGAGAATTTCATCTCTAAACAAAATCATTTACACTGAAAACTGCAGTGAGGTGGGATTCCCTCCTTTTCAAAATGTTTCTAGAGCTACTAAAAAACTTGCATTTACAAAATATTGTATTACAAAATGATAAAAATATTATTCTGGATTGTACAAGAAGGCAGACAGGGAGCACTGATAAGACATGGTGTGTGATTAATCAGACTTGGCTTCTTTGTCTTCTGCTTCATCAGAGGCTGCACTCTCCTCATTTTTAGTTTCTCCATTTTCTGCAGGTAAATCTTCTTTGGTTTCTTGATTGGTTACTTCAGTCTGTTTTCTCTTGGCTCCCCTTTTCCCTTTTGCTTGAACTTTTTTGTCCGAAGGTGTATCCTTTTCCGCTGCCTTTTTTGGTTTCGTTTGCACTTTAGCTGGAACAGGTTTAGCCTACAACCTCGCCAAGCTCCTCTTGGGCTCCGCTTTTGCTGCTCCTTCAGCTGGCCGAGCTGACCTTCCTCTTGGACATCTTGGCAGCGCGCGCGTTGGGGGGCAGAGCTGCGGATTGAGGTGTACGCGGAGCCTCACGGAGCTGCGCAATTCAAAAGCTGCAGACCCTCCTGCCCAGAGCTGCTGGGACACCCGGTCCACTGCTATGATTTGTATCTAGATGTCTCCCAAGCCAAAAGCTGCATATGGTCATGGGAGGTGGCTGAATCTAAAGCTTGTGATTGGTTCATTGTCTAGTGCTAGCATTGGGAGTGTGAGTGCTACAGCCATCCTAGGCAGGTAGCCTGCATACAGTATAAGTGATGAAAAGAGGCTTGCTCTCCCCTCTTTCACTCTTCATGCTTTTACTGTCTTCTGTCACCACAAAGAAGACATGTTGCTTCCTCTGCCATACTACCTGCTTTGGAGCTGACTGATAATGGACTGAAACTGCCACAAACTGTGAACTAAATAAATCTTTTCTTCCTTAATTTTGGACATCAGATATTTTGTCTCAGCAATGAAAGAAAAGTGAGTAAGACAATCCCTTGTGTAGCTAGCGATCTATATAGTCAGGAACAAGAGAGCAGTGATTATCTAGGATGGGATGGGGCAGACAGAGGAAGAAAGTGATTCTAAAGTACAAACGGGTATGGAAAAGAGAGAGAGAGGTAAAAAAAGAAAAAGTATTGTAATCCAGAACAATGTACCAAAGGATATCTTGATTTAGTACAAGCATCTTGTATGTTGTACATGCTTTGGCCGTTTAGTCTGTTTTTTAATATTTATATATGATAATTGTATAAGGTCTTAAAAATAAATCTGATGCTGAAAAAAATAAAAGAGTAAAAGAAGAAAAAACTGAACTGTATAATGTACATGTATCAATTCCCTGTAGTGAATGTAATCATTTGCTGTAGCAAACACATACCAAAAGTTAAAAAGCAAAAGAGCAAAGGCAGTGCAAATGAAAAACAAGCATGAGAAAACCTCGAGGAGTGATGAGTTCGTTCATTATCCTGATTTAGGTGATGGTTTCACAGCATAAGCAAATGTCATAGCACATCAGTCTATGATAAATATCTACAGCTTATGTCAAGGATGCCCTGTAAAACTGTTAAAATGTGTATTGTATTCTTTTGTGTCTGTAATACATATTTCTCATTATCTTTTTACCCTATAAGAATTATCACCAGCATTTTAACAATAATTACCTGGGCAGAGAAAAAAGTGGGATGTTTTAAGTTTTCTCCTGAAAAACTTACCCTCTTTTTTTTAAGTTCCTGCAATAATTTTAAATATTCTTCTAAGATTAAATTGTTCTTTACAACTCACTTTTTAAACAGTTCTTTAAAACTATGTGCTGCATTAGTGAAAAGTAAAATCAAGTTTACAGCTTCTTTATGACAGAGTTCACCCAGCAGCCATGGTGGCGGTGATGGCGGCGGCACAGGAAAGCGACAGGAAAGATAAAAGAGATTTTTACTGCAGACATGAGAGAACCGCAGGGAAAGACAAGCTGGAACCCTCCGGTCCCAAACAGTGGAGGGCAGCTATAGTAATAGGTTCCTGAAGGGGGCGGGGCCTTGGGAAGTGAGGTGATGACGTTGTTAGGGCTCATTGGATATCCTCCTGGGAGGTAAGGTAGATCATCTTTGCACGCCGGATGAAGGGAATGCTGGGAAGAAGAGCTAGGTAGTTGTTCTGGGCTCATTGCCACCTTGTGGAGACACTGTGGTGATTCAGCCAGTTTCCACATGGGCCGGACCCATCTCTTTGTACATTCTTACTACTTTGATATGGTCTCAGGTTTCTTTACAATGATGATAAATTCTCTATATTAAATTTTTTTCTTCAAAGAAAGCCCCCTGTCTTGCTTATAGGCACTTGAAAAATTGTCTACTCCACCAGCAACTATTTCATTACTTATATCCCCAATAAATAAAATGTTCAGAAAGGCAATCTATAAGCAGGGACTCTGGACCCCGTATCCTCAAGGAGGGACTACTGCGGACTTTCTGGGCTTCACTCCTGCACTCGTGGTCTTATCAATCAGGAAGAGCAGGAAGGCTTCTCGCCTCCTGCCCAGCACCAAGCACACCCTGGGACAGTGCTTTTAGTACAGGTAAAGTGGGCAGGATGGGCTGGGCCGCGGCAGGGTGGGGGACAGGGTGGGCAGTCGCAGGGCCCCATTCTCGTTCTGGCCAGAACGACTGGTAGAGGACAAGCCGTGTGACGTGTCGCCTAGGCCGCGTTCTCATTCTAAGCGGCTGCCCCGCCTAAGTCGACCTGGCGCTGGGCTCTTCTGGTGCGGGCTGCGCCATGCTGCTGGGCAGCCGTGCCCTTGGCCAGGCCCTGACCCTGGCTCTCAGCAGGGCGCGCTGCCCCGTGCTCCACCGCTTCGCAGGTCCCCGCACCGTTGCGCCCAGACGCCCACTGGCCGGCGCGGCCTCCTCGGAAGACATCACCTCCGCGCCGCCCCGGGTCCGCCAAAACTTCCACCCCGACTCGGAGGCCGCCCTCAACCACCAGATCAACCTGGAGCTGTATGCGTCCCACGTGTACCTGTCCATGGCCTGCTACTTCTCCCAGCATGATGTGGCACTGCACAACTTCGCAGGCTACTTCCGGCGCCAGTCCCTGGAGGAGCGCGTGCATGCTGAGATGCTGGCGAGGCTGCAGACCCAGCGCGGTGGCCGCGTGTGCCTGCTGGAGGTGCGCAAGCCTGAGAGTGACGACTGGGGTGGCGGCCTAAAAGCTATGCAGTGCGCACTTGCGCTGGAGAGGCACGTGAACCAGTCGCTGCTGGACTTGCACACGCTGGCCTCGGACAAGAAGGACCCCCACTTGTGCGACTTTCTGGAAACCCATTTCCTTAATGAGCAGGTGAAGTCTATCAAGGAACTAGGTGACCATGTGCGCAATTTAGTCAGCCTGGGGGCCCCAGATTCTGGCCTAGCAGAGTACCTTTTTGACAAACATACTCTTGGAAATGAAAACAAGCAGAATTAAGTTGCAGGCTGCCATCCCCACAGCTCAGTGGTCCCGAGATCCATAGTGAGGTGTCTCCTGCTTCTTGCCCTTAAGATTCACCACCGCCTTTACATTCTTCTCCTGTTATAGTCGTCCTCCAATAAACATATAGAGAAAACATACTGAGCCCGTGTTAGCAACAGCTTTCTGTGTGCATCAAGCTACTCATCTTTTCACAGGCTAATATTTCAGGATATGACAGTAATGAAAAAGGTATTTAAAAAGTGCTATGAAAAAAAAAATAAAAAGTACTGCGATATTACTAAATACTACAAATTACCAAATATTACTCCTGTGAACACACAGTAAAATTCTATGATTTTTTAGTTCACTCTGTGCCTGCTAGCTTCAAGATGCTAAAGTGACAAAAACTTGTATGATAAGAAAATAACTGTAAAACAAAGACAACCATAAGACAGAGTACTGTGAAAGTGTGCTTGCAAAATTCTATAACAATCTTGGCCTTTTCCCGTTGTGTTCAAAGAAATAGCAATGTATGGAGACAACCTTTTTTTTTAATGTATTTGGTACTGGTCTACAGGGTCTACGAGGTCTCACTTATGTAGATCAGACTCGCAGTGATTCTCCTGTTTTTGGCATCTCAAGAGCTGCGATTACAGGCATGCGCCACCATGCTGTCTTGCAGTCCTAGCATGCCCCTGGGGGCGGGGGAGGAATGGCATGGCATATGATCTATTTTTTTAAAGACTTGATAATCAAATAAAATTGGGATAAGCTTTACCAGGTATCAGTGCTGGCATTGTAGTCACTGTATGTATTACCATTTCAAGAGCTCTGAGAAGTGCTGGAATCAAAAACAAAAAGCTTGAATGATTTCTATTTAGTTGTGTTTCCCAAACATATGCAATTACAGATAGTTTTTGCCTTTAAAAAAGAAAAGTAATAAAACAGATCTGTTTCGTTTCAGATTATATATGGTTGGCATTGGGCTAATCTCCCTTTCTTCACAACAAAAAGAGTAAAAGCACTATCAATTTTTTAAAACATACTTAAAAGAGTTAAAAAAATAAAACACCTTTCTATCATTAGAATAGAGGAGAAGAACATTGCAGTAGAAACTCAAGAAAAGGTCTGGAATGAAGGAAGCATCCTGTGGATAGATGTTTCTTTTAGAGAGGGCAGAGCTAAGAAAAGGGAAGAGTATTATAGTGAGCAGGAATTTGGGCTAGACTAGGGCACTGGGTGGTTGGAAAGATGGGCTGTGAGCACAGCCCAGGAGGGAAGAAGTCTGGGCTTAATAATTATAGTCAAAGGCAGTGCCTGCATGGTGTTCAACAGAAGACTGCTGTGCTAAAAGGTGAACAATCAAGATGAACATCTTAATCTGTCTGTGTAGAATCACAATCTGAAAATAACCTGAATATCTATGTTTGCTAGGGTCCTTTGCGACACAGATGCCAAGATGAGATTAAAGCTTTCATACTTTAGAGAAAGCTGGCCTCCAGGAAAGGAAGAAAAAAAAGTTGTGCATAGTTCCATGGAAAGTTGTATGTCTTTCAAGATTTCCAGCCTAAGTCGCTAATCAGAGGAATTTCAAATCTCCCTGCAATGGGCTTAAGAAAATACTTTGTTTTTTGTTTTGTTTTGTTTTGTTTTGTTTTGGCAGTACCGGGGATTGAACTCAGAATCCTGCACTTGACAGGCAAGCACTTATTCTACTGAGCTATCTCCCTAGGCCCAGGAAGTACTTTGCTTGTACCTAAAGAACCTATGAAAGTACTTGTCTCTAAATGAGATCCACTGGCATAGCAGCTGAGGCCTTTGGCAGATTTTGCTTCCTACACTCCAAGATTTGAAGAGCACTACACCACTTCAAAAGTATATTTTAGGTAAAATACACATAGAGCAGCACCTTAGCTGTAGTTAAATATTATTTTGTCAAACATGATGTGGACAGAAATTCACAATATAATTTTTAAAGAAAGCAGCCTTCTAAGACAAGGCTGTTATATAATTCTATATAGACTTACAGAGAAAATTATCTAAAATCTATGTAATAAAATGATTGGAGAGCTTGGGAGATAGCTCAGTAGAATAAGTGTTTGCCTGGCAAGTGCAAGGTCCTGAGTTCAATCCCCAGTTCCACAAAAAAAAAAAAAGATTGGAAATATATATACCAAGAAATTTAGCTGGACAATCTCAAATCTTGAGAATGTGGATGGTATTTTTAAAATCTCCTATGGGAAGCCATTGGCAATCATTATTATCTTAATAAGAAAAACAACATATATGTGTGTGTATATGTATGTGTATACACACAAAGGATTGAATTATGATGAAACCAATGGTAATAGAAATAAATGCTAGTGACTGCCATTTAAATTTTGTGATCAGATGAATGGAGGAAATTACAGAAATGGGTTACAGAAACAAATGATAACTCTCAAATATACTCCTAGAATTATTAGAGAACAAGAGTTAAGATCTCTGCAGGAGGAATAAGTAATGGGGAGTACATAATGATTTTGGGTTGGTTTGGTCCCTTAAGGGGGTCGATTTTGCTCACAGGCATCCATTTGTATAAAAATTTTCTCTGTGATTTTTTCAGATATCAAAATGCAAGCCAATAATGTGTCATGATATTTTACAGTGAGGACCACTCACTTTTGTAAATAAAATAGAACTGGAGTAATGTGAAAGTGAGAGAAGTAAGGGTGTTGTCAAGTGAAACTTTCATGTCAGTGAGCTTGCATGTGTATGTGCTCTCATGTATTTACATGCTGAATAATGGAGTATATTATTCTGTGTTTCTGTCAAAAACATTCACCAGTCACTCTCATATGTGAACATAGAGTGACCTCTCTCCTTAAATCTCTAAACCTTTCTTACTCCCACTGGCAATAGGTAATCCTCTTATTTCACTTAGAAATTCAAAGTAATTGAAGAATTTCACACTTTTCCTGCACAAGGACTCAAGGGTACCTACCATAATCTTTCTCTTGCATCACTTTTTCTCATTGTTGATTTCCAAGAGAAGGCAAACATAGTGTTGTTTCTGCTCATCTTAACACTGAATTTAGATTCACATTACTAAAACATCACATTACTGAAATATCAAAGTACCACACTTTCTTTACTTATCTCTTTCACAACAAAACTTGAAAAGGATATTTCTTTTTCCTATCTCCACTTCTTACTTTGTTCTTACTTTATCTCTTCCAAGTAAGGGTTATTTTCTTTTCCTGTCATCTATAGATTTTGTGTTAATAAATTAATTTCTCAGTCTTCCTCATGATATAGGGGAAATACTATAACTCCCAACCTGTTAAAATGTCAAATGCATCAAGTTCATGTTACCTAAAATGAAGAATGAATTTTAAGGAACAACTTATAAGACTAAGAAAAATTTATTGAGAGTGTTAGCACTTGAGAAATAGAAAGAGATCTGAAAGTGAATTGCCCATGAGCCCACTTTTCAAAATAAGTTTTATAAAGAGAAAAAAGGCACAAGATGGGTACAACATGGGTCAAAACTATGATCAATAAGATTACAAGTACAACTGCTTAGGTGATACTGACCCAATGAGGAGGAAGTTCACACATAGCAAATGTACATGGAAAGAACCAAAACCATTTTAGGAAGGAATGGATATGGTCAGCAACCTAGATCACTAATTAATTTTATCTAGACTTATTTGGCCCAAGTAATATCAATTATAGTATAATCTTCAATATATTGCTTAATTCTTAGGCACATAGGCCTAGTCACTCCTTCTTAGTTATAATGTATTCTCATCTTCTACAGTGACTCCCTAAAGGACCTACCTATGTCTGACTGTAATATTTTTACCTAGCTCAGTTGTCTGTAATACTCATTATTTAACCAGCTAGCAGTGATGTCAAGTTATCTATTGATACACTTGCTGTTGTATATGTTTAATCTAACCTTTGAAATATATTTACATATTAAAATGCTTGATGCTTTTCTTCTCAGATATTTAATAGACATGTCATTTTAACGTGTGTAAAACTATACTATTGTGTTTATCATTCCACACACGTTTATTCCACTCCTGTGCTTCACAAAATGTACCACCATTCTACCAATTTCTACAACCTATCCATTCTTCATTTTTCTCTTTCATGTTAGTCGAGTCCATTAACATTTTTTCAAGACTTCCTTAAAAATAGATTTTGAAGCTAGGTGTGATGACACACACCTATGAGGCCAGCACTCATGAGGCTGAGGCTGGAGGATCAATGTGAGTTTCATACCAGCCTGGGTTACAAAGTGAGTTCAAGTCCAACATGAACTATGTAGCGAAACTGTCTCAAAGCAAAAAAATAGATTTTGAATTTTCTTGCAGCCTTCATCATTGCGGTTATGGTAATAAGCTCTCAACATTTCCTGAATTATCACATTTTACATCATATTCTTAAAAAATCTAGTTGCTTTTATATGTTTCTTCATTTTCCCATAAAGAACCCCAAGTGTGTTCGTTTTTAGGCTTAAGTCAGATCTTATAACTTCTCCTAAATCTTTGAAAATTTCTCCTCTAGTTAGGAAGACATGTCAAGGAAAAGAACGTTATAATGACTTCAGAGAGCCCTCTGGGTCCCTGATGTCTCTTTGATTGAATGTAGTCTGTGAATACATTACACAGGTGATATCACCACCTCTCACTGTTGAGACTGTCTGTTTTATGTCTATGATGAGGTAGAGAGGGGGAGAAAACAAGAAAGAAAGAAAGAAAGAAAGAAAGAAAGAAAGAAAGAAAGAAAGAAAGAAAGAAAGAAAGAGGAAGGAAGGAAGGAAGGAAGGAAGGAAGGAAGGAAGGAAGGAAGGAAGGGAAAGAAAAAGAAAGAGAGAGAAAGAAAGAGGAAAAATACATATTTCGCTGAATATATTCTACATCTGCCTTAATTTGCTGCCTTTTTGGTTTACCTATTCTTTGTTTTGTTCACAACTATTTTCACTAAGTACCTATTACTACCTATTACTAGGGTTACAACTAAAATAAGTGAATGAGTGAGTAAGCAAATGATTTGAAATATTGTAAACTCAAGTGAAAGTGATAATCTGGACTTTTCAAAAAGTTTATCAGAGAAATTTGAA